AGTTGATAAAATTACTGCAGATTTATTGTTATGTTGTATGCATATTAATATAAGGTGAAAATTCAATGTTCATTTTCACTCGTAGCTTTAACATCAGCAACCTCTCGAGACTTTCTGGGACGTTGCCCTGGCGCTGAGTACATTGCTGAACAGTGTAATTGCATTCTCAAGGGAAGGGTTAATGCATGTCCTGAAGCATATTTGTTCCAGTAACATTTGGGACTTCCTGTGAAGGGAGAAGAATGAAATGCCTAAATGTCTTTCTCGGCTTCCTACCTCCAAGCAGAATCCCTTTACAGGTGCGCCCACTTAGTAGAAGGAATGGATCAATGGGAACTGTTGAACCAGCAGGTGGTTCCCCAATCAATACACAGACTCCAGTGTTCATATTGCAAGAGGCCAGGGCAGCAATCTGGTGGGACAGGCAAGCACATAGATCATTAGATGAATTTGTCATAAATGCATTCTTTCCTTGCAGGTTTTGTGCCTCCCTGGTACCTAATAATGGAGGCTGTTTTCTGCATCAGCCTTGGAAAGCTCCATTCCTGTTGTGAAACTCCTGAATCATTCCTCCCCCAAGCAGAATGGCCTGAATTGCAGGCAGCACGCAAGAAACCAAGTGCTGTGATGGAATTTGTCTGATGGGATTCTGGGAAGGAAGACGTGCTAAAATGTCACATACCAGGGTATCTGCAGTCCCAGCAGCCTCAAAGGAGTAGTCCACGCCATGGCCGGTCATCTCGGTGAGCACCTGCTGGATAGGCTTCTTGAAGTCTTTAGGGTTGATGCACTCGGTGGCTCCCAGCTCTTTGGCCCTGGCAAACTTGTCCTTGTTGATATCGATGGCAATGATGCGGGACGCTCCAGCTGCCTTGCAACCCATGACAACAGAGAGGCCAACTCCTCCGAGGCCAAAGACGGCACAGGTGGAGCCTGGTTTTACCTGCATGACGTGGGGCTGGATTAGTTTCCCGTGTGAGGAGGAAGTGTCTATTGCTTTTTTGAGGATATGAAAGTGGCCGTGGGACACTTATTTTTGACACGTCTGACTACCAACCTTGGCAGTGTTGATGGCAGCCCCATAGCCTGTGGGAAAACCACAGGCAAGCAAGCAGACTTTGTCCAGAGGTGCAGCAGCATCTATCTTGGCCAGGGTGTACTCGGGCACCACAGTGTATTCTGCAAAGGTGCTGTTCCAGAGGAAATGATGGATCTGTTTCCCTTTGCAAGTGAATCTGCTGGTCTTGTCCGGCAGCAGGTTTTGTGGTTCAGTGAGGCTGATGGAAGTATGTCCATGAGTTGCTCATCGCATAAGGTACATGTGTGTGCATGTCAGAATTGTTGACAGTTTAGCCTGTTTTAGGTAAAGGGGTAGGTGAAAACAAACTCACTGTGATTTCACGCAGTAGTTGGAGTCAGGATTCAAGCAGAAGCTACATTCTCCACACTGAGGATGTGGTGAGATTATGACTTTGTCTCCTGGAACAAAGCAGATCCAGCATTAGGTGCTTTCACTTGACAGCCTGTTGGTGTGCCTCTGCTGAGCTTTGTGATGACTGCACCCTGGCATGAACGCTCTGCTTTCCCTGTCCACAGAACATGTTCAGAGCCCGCCTCAACCACTTTGTGGTATTGATGAGGAAAGTGTGTGTGATAGCATAGCACAACTGGTGTGCAGCCAGAGGGAGTTTCTGATCTCTGGGCAGCCTTCCAGACTTTGAGAGCTGAGTCCTGGCTGCGTGCGGTGGTTACCTGGTTTCACAGAGGTCACTCCTTCTCCAATGCTCTCCACAATCCCCGCTCCTTCATGGCCTGGGATGACTGGGAATTCTAGATCAGGAAATGTACCTTCAAGAACGTGGTCGTCTGTGCGACAGATCCCTGTAGCCACAATCTGTTAGTGGTAAAAGTGCAGAGAACATTTGGAACAATGTCGATTGGCTCTGCGACCCTCCGTGTCTTTACTGTGGGAACTGTGAAATGTCACATAACTGTGCTTGTGGTTTTTTGCTCCACCTGAATGCTTATTGATCTATGGGGCCCAATAGTATTTGCTCCAGGGTTCTCAAAGAGCTGGCTGATTTAATTGTGGGTCTGCTCTTAATTATTTTTCACTAGTTTGGGAAATCTGGAGATGTTCATATCTACTAGAAGGTGGTAAACTTCCCAGTCGTCATGAAGAACAAGAAAGACAATCCTGGTAATTACAGGTCTGTCAGTCTCACTTCTTTGCCTGGCAGAATTGTGTAGAGTAGATTATTCTGGGAGGTATTGTAAAGTACTTGAAAGATAATTGGTCACATCCAGTGTGGGTTCACATGGGGGGAAAGTCCTGCGTAATGAATTAATCTCCTTTTACGACAAGGCTAGTCCGTCACCCCACCCTCCCTCTCACTTGACCAAGAGAAGCCTTCTTGGCTTTTAGCAAATGTTTCAGTACCGTTTCTGTCTTTATCTTTCAGGACCAAATGTCCAGCATACAGCCACACTGAAACATAATTCAGTGGATGAACAACTGGCTGATGGGTTGGGCTCGGAAGGCTATACTAAATATGGTCATAACTACCTGGTGACGAGTCACTAATGGGTTTTGTCAGTGCTCCATCTTGGGGCCAGTTTTCTTTAATGATTTTGTCAATGATTTGGATATGGAACTTGATGGTATACTAAGTAAGTTTGCAAATAATACTACATTAGGGAGGGGCTGTTGGCTCTCTAGGGGGCAGAAAGGTCTTGAAGAGAGATCTTGACAAAATGGAGATCTTGGCAATCACCAACATATGAACTTAACAGGAGCACGTGCTAAATTCTGCGGCTGGCGCAGGCAACTGAAGATATTTGCACAGACTGGGGGTTGAGAGCCTGCAGAGCAGCCCTGTGGAGAAGGACCTGGGGGTTCTGATTGCTGGCAAATTGAATCTAAGCCAGCAGTGTGCCCTGGCGCAGCCCATGGGGCGAAGCATACCCTGGGGTGCATCACGTCCAGCGCTGCCAGACAGTCTAGGGAAGGGATCATCCCACTCTGTTCTGCACTGGGCCAGCCTCACCTCAGGCACTGTTCGCAGTTTTGGCACGACAATATAGGAAGGACATAAAACTAAAACTATTTGAGAGTGTCCAAAAAAGACTTACAAAGATGGTGAAGGCTCTGAACAAGATGTGTGAGGGGTGGCTGAAGTCCCATGGTTTTTTAGCCCAGAGAAGGGGAGACTGAGGTGTGGCCTTACAGCAACCTTACTTCTTCCTCATGAGGGGAGCAAAGCGGCAGGCACTGAGCTCTGCTTGATGGTGGCAGGGTCCAGGGGAATGCAGTGGAGCTGCATCAGGAGAAGATGAGACTGTGTGTTGGGAAAAGGTTCTTCACCAGAGGATAGTCAGTCATGGGACAGTCACCACAGGGAAGTGGTCACAGCGTGAAGCTGCTGGAGCTCAAGAAGCATTTAGACAATGTTCTCCGATATAGGACTTGAATTTCGGGTGGTACTGTGTGGAAACAGGAGTTGGATTCAGTGAGCCTATTGTGGGTGCCTTCTAGCTTAGGATATTCTATGGTAATATGATTCCAGAAAGAGCTTGACCACCATTGATCCCCATGATCGATCCAGGAAATTGGGAAGGAGACAAACATTACTACGCCCTAACCTAGGGAAAGATTAAGCTTCAATGCAACCTGATTCCCAATCACAGAATCATTAAATCCTCCAAAAAATATCCCAAATGGAAATGGGGGGAAGAGGCGGGAAAGCAAATAATAAAACAAGTAATGAAACTAAAAAAAAACAACGTGCTTTTACCTTGACACGCACTTCATGTGC